CATGGTCTGTCAACAAATTACAATACAAACAGTAAAAGTGTGAATCTTGTCCAGTCTCTTGCAATCAAACTCCCACATACACTAAGGTGTAACCTACAATTTGCAATAATTGTCATCGAAACTGTAGCCATAGTTTTCATCAGAACCTCCCTCCAAAGTACACGGTTATATTGACAACATGACTAAGCAATTTGACTGTCTTATCCGTACACAATGACACAAGGACTTGTCATTCTGATGGCACTGACATGTTCATTGACATAAAAACTTAGTTTTGAGAGATGAACTAAAGATTTTGAGCAAGTTAAAGGCTTTTGCAGGAAATCCATAGTGTTGTGCTGTTTGTACAAATTGTTTTGAGAAATGCACATATTTATTTGCAAATTTCAATTCTGATCTGAGAAATGTACCAAAGTGACTGAGAAAAACTGTAAGTACAAAATTTCCCTCTTTGTGTTTCCACACAGTAGAAGGTGCGGTGGGGAGATGGCAGCAAAAAGAGGGAATTCTGCACCAACTTTTGAAGATACCCACATGATTTTTCTAACAAGTCTGCGAAATTTTTGAATTCATGTTCACACATAAATAGGACTAGATATTGTTCACTATCATTTACATTGAAATTGCCTTAACAATGAATTACTTGCCATACATGTGTGGACAACAACACAAACACTGTCAGTATTTTATTGTCTTGGATTGGAAGTACAGATGGTTTTATAAAGTAGCCTACTTTTTATCCAGGGAACCAAGGAAGTTGCCATTGATATTCAGTGATGTAACCCCTAATTTACCTTAAACCAGGTCATCTCTCTAAAATATAACATTAGCATTTTGGGGATTTGTCTCCCCCCCACATGAGTAATGCCAGATCACACACATTATTATTTTGGCAATGTTTATTGTCTGTGCCATCTTTGGACTGTGGGAGGAAACCAGAGCACCTGGAGAAAACCCACACAAACATTCAAACTCCACTTTAGTACTTCCAAGTACTGGTCTGTTGCCCTGCTGACGGGGTCAGCTCCACCCTTGATGTAGATCCCAGTTTGTAGAGGTAGCATTCAGCTCTGCTCTGGCATTCTTTAATTCCTCTGATATGTTTCGATCAAACTCATTCTGCATCTTAGCCAGATAGTCCCCCACCCTGCTACTGTTTGCAGTGATTCTGACGGTAAGAGATCTACTGCGCTCATGGAGCCATTTGGAATTGACCTCAGATAGTTGTCTTTTGGTCCTCTCTAGTTTGACAGCCAGGGAAATACGGTGGCACCGCTCGTCGGTGTAGAGTTGGCGATATCGCTCTAGCTCTGTGTGTGTGGAGTCTCTTTGGTTAATGATATCCTGCTGGGTCAGGCAAGCCCAGCCCAGCTTCCGCATCTTCTGCTCCACCTGAGTGCACAAGTTGGCATCATTTGCTGCCTGGGACCGCAGGAAGAGGTTGCCCTGATCTAGTTTTTGTTGTATATCCTGACGGGTGCTCTCCTCTACATCATGACAGTACTGCTCCATCTGCTTCTGCTTCATCTGCATGGACTTAATGTGACATCTCAGGTCTAGTACCTCCTCCTCCAGCTGCCTCTTACTCTGCTTGAGCTGGTCATTATTGTGACTCTGGCTGTTGAGCTCTGTGTTTCTCTTCATCTCTAGATCCAGCCCAGTGTCTTTAGCCTTCTTCTGCCCCATAATTTTCTTAACTTCCTTCTTCTCTATTTCTGTCTGGGTGTTCAGTTCTCCTTTCTCTTTTTCCTGCTCCGCCAAGCGTAGTCCTAACTTCGAGCAGCTTTTCGGCTCCTCTTCCCACAAGGCCTGTAAGTCCTGGGCTGTGTTAGACAGCTTGCTTTGCTTCTCTCTACTGCGTTGGTCTTCCAATGTGCTTTGGAGGACTGTAACCAAGGCTTCCAAATGACCTTTGACTGTAACAGCTTCATCAACCTCTTTCTGAAGTGCATTAATTTTCTCAGACTGTTGCTTTACAGTACCTTTCAGGCTGACATTCTCTACCGCCAGCCTTTGCATAGCTTCCTCCTGTCTTTGCATAGCTTCCTTCAGCTGTTTGATTGTGGTATCAGAGGCTGCAGAAGCAAAAAGGGCTTCCTGGGGTTTCTGAGCAGTGCTGAGTTCCTTTACCTTTTCATCCTGGACCAGCAGTAAGACTTTCTCTGTCAGCTGCTGTGTGACCTGGTGGATCTTATTCTCCAAGCTGTTTACAGGAGTCTCTGATGTGGCCAATTTTTGCAACAGGCTGCTGATTGCCTCACGCTGACAGGGTGCTTCATCTGTGAGTCTGTTGTTGTTCTGCAACTTCACCGTGCTACATCCAGTATCCCAGGAAGCACTGGATTTTTGCTCCTCTGTTGCAGTTTTTGTCATCTCTTTACCAACCTTTTCCTGTTGTTCATCAGACAGAATTGTCTCACTAGTAGTGGTATTTGAGTTCCAGTCTGATTCATATAAATAAGCATCAGTATAAACCTGTCTGTGCGCCTCCACTAGATTGGCCTTTGGGTTGTTATGGTGGTCAGGCAAGGTTCTCTCACTAGTAGTGCTATCCGAGTCCCAGTCTGATTCATCTTCAGTGGCCTTTGAGTCGTAATTCTGTTCACATTTGCTCAAAGCACTAAGTGATTCCTCTTCACTCTCTGATTTCTGAAGCACCAGCTTCTTTGTTTGAGGTTGGGGATGGGGCCCAAGTTCAGAGTGTGTGCCAGGAAGTCTCTGAGGTGTCAGGGGTGCTGCTGGAAGAGTATATTTGTCATTCTTTTTAGCAAACAGTCTAGAGATTTTTGGGATCTCCTCAGATTGAAGGGAGGCCATTCTTTGGCCAGGCAGGGTTATCTCGCTAATAGTACTATCCGAGTCCCAGTCTGATTCATCTTCAACAGCGTTTGGGTCATTACCCCATTCACATTTGCTTGAAACAGTAAATGATTCTTCTTCATTCTCTGGACTCTGAAACACCAGCTTCCTTGTTTGAGGTTGGGGATGGGGCCCAAGTTGAGCGTGTGTGCCAGGAAGTCTCTGAGGTGTCAGGCGTGCTCCTGGAACAGTGTCTTTGTTCTTCTTTTTAACAGACGGTCTAGAGCTTTTTGGGATCCCCTTAGGTTGAGCAGAGTTCATTCTGCAGCCAGGCAGGGTTCTCTTGCTAATAGTACTATCCGAGTCCCAGTCTGATTCATCTTCAACAGTGTTTGGGTCATTATCCCATTCACATTTGCTTGAAACAGTAAATGATTCTTCTTCATTCTCTGGACTCTGAAACACCAGCTTCCTTGTTTGAGGTTGGGGATGGGGCCCAAGTTGAGCGTGTGTGCCAGGAAGTCTCTGAGGTGTCAGGGGTGCTGCTGGAAGAGTATATTTTTCATTCTTTTTAACAGGTGGTCTAGAGATTTTTGGGATCTCCTCAAAATGAAGGGAGGCCATTCTGCGGCCAGGCAGGGTTATCTCGCTAATAGTACTATCCGAGCCCCAGTCTGATTCATCTTCAACAGTGTTTGGGTCATTATCCCATTCACATTTGCTTGAAACAGTAAATGATGCTTCTTCATGCCTTGGACTCTGAAACACCAGCTTCCTTGTTTGAGGTTGGGGATGGGGCCCAAGTTGGGCGTGTGTGCCAAGAAGTCTCTGAGGTGTCAGGCATGCTCCTGGAACAGTGTCTTTGTTCTCCTTTTTAACAGACTGTCTAGAGCTTTTTAGGATTCCCTGAGTTTGAGGAAAGCTCATTCTGCCGCCAGGCAGGGTTCTCTTACTAGTGGTGCTATTGCTTTTAAGTTTGCTCGAAACACTAAATAGACCCCATGTTACCTTCTTTGTTTTTTTACCATTATTGTTGTTTACATTGCCTTCACTCTCTACTGATTCAACCTCCATGGTGCTATCTTCCACTGTTTCCAGCATTTTCTTCTGCTGTACCTTAGTCTTTTTGTGCCACTGCTTTTTTTGTTTTTTAGTGCTATGTGTAGCCCCCATAGAAAAACCAAACTTGGCAAAACTAAACTTGGCAATGTTATAGTCAACTGCTTAGATCAAACTATTTCTCAAATCCAACTACTTCTCTGATTGAAAATGCAGCTCATGAAGTCCCTCTGTCAGTGTAGTGTGTAGGTTCTTAGGACAACCTCGATTTGCTTCCTTTGATGTGCGTTCCAAATTCTGGTTGCTATGGGTTAACAGACACATACGTCACACACACGCACATGGCGACGCACAGTCGTTGAGAATAAACAAACACTTCGCTAACTATTTTTCAGACTTTATAACCCACTACTGGTATTACATGAGCAAGCTATCGGAACGGCAAGCTGCTGCCAATAACCGGAACGGACCTTTCACACAGCAAGTCTCGGTCCAGCTCTTCACCAGATGAACGTTCCTTACCGAACAGACCTTAGCCCTCTCCTGATCAACGCCGTGATAGTTCCTTCCTCGTCTCTCTGTGAGTACCAGTGCTTCAGCTTACCTGTGAGGCGGCTCACCTTCACTCCTGCAACCCAGCCAGTTTCTTCCTCGTCTCTCCCTGCCATCCCTCTCCAGTTATCTGCCTCCCTAAAGCCATGTTGCCTCCTCTCCCAGTACCTGCTCTTCCTCTGCCTCACCTTCCCAGCCAGTACGAGCCCTGCCTTTACCTGTCCTGCGCCCAGTGACCTGTCCTATGTCTAATAAACTCTTTTTGGGTTCCACTCTGAGTACATTGTGTCTACTAGTACTACTACTACTAATAATGTTTTATGTTTATATTAATATCTAAAGGTTGATAATAAAATGAAAAAGCCCCTTAAGATTTTATTGGGAATAACGTTTAATTGGATAAAGGCCTATGACAACCTTAAAGGCCTTACCTCTGACAATAACTGATTTTCATATTTAATTTCCCCAAAGTAAATTCAAAAATCTGATTCTTGTTTATCTGATTCAACATGCACAGACAGTATAATATTATTGTTAACTGAGTATGTACACACAAATAATCACAGGCTATACAGTCCAGACAAAGATGCTCCTGTGGTTCTAATGTAATCATTCATGTTTATTTTAAGCATGGCTTGTATGGAAAATTCTCATCAATCATTTTGTATCATGCTTACACTAGAGGAAAATCTAAGCTTGAAAAACTTCCCTCATTCCGCAATAAAGGACAGGATGTTGGCTATAGTACTAGGAAAATGTACAGCTTTCAGCCTAGTGAACATAACTTGATTTGAATATAAGGCAGTTCAGATCCTTAGATAAATAGCATGTAAAAAATTTTAAAAATAAAAATTCAGCAAAACATTGGAATTTCATTTCAGAAAAGAATACAAAGTCAGTAGCAGATGACCTGAGATACCTGTCCCTGTCATGGGGATAAGTCTGTTGTCCATCACCAGAAACTCAGAGTAGCGCTAGGTGCACAGAGTTTTTGTGCCACTTCTTCCTTCCCATCACAGCAGAGCTTATCCTCATCAGGTCAGCCACTTAGTAACAAGGTAGAGAGAGGTATGAAGAGGAAATCATATTCAAAGTCAAATCCACTCAATGATCAGTTTATTTCACAACAATTACTATGAATCTTCTGGTAAAATTCACTTAGCAAAAACAGACACTAATTTCTCTCTTACCTTAAAGGAATCATTCTTCAGCCTTTTTAGTATCTTTGTTGTTTTTACGTGAGCTTTTCCTCTTACTGTCTAGCACATCAGTCTTCGCCTGATCCAGAGTTCGCAGTAGGCACATGGTGTCAAATCCCTCGTCACCAGCCTCATGCAACAACTCAAGCACCTGTTAATGAAACATTTAACTCCTTTCTCAAAGCAAAAGCAACAGCAAATACAAGTGACATATTTTAATCACCATTCAGTATCAGTGTTGGCACCTACCTGCAGACATTTAAAAGATTTGAGTTCACTCAGGTTCTCCTGCAGGAACAGCAGATAGATGCTGAGATCATTGTAGAAGGGTGTGACCAAACCCAAAGCACCGAATCCTGGTAGCATCTCATAAGGCTTGAGGAAGCTGGAGCTCTGGCGAGCTGGTCCAAGAGCAGCATATACCACCAGTGGAACAAGAAGCACATACACCCCCAAGTTGATGTAGCTGAGCAGCCTGAATACACCCACTGCTGCAAGTTTGCACTGGACTGCAGATGGCACTGTGCTGTCATTTTTTAGCAGTCCGGTCTGCAGGTCACAGGGAAACTCATCTGTGAGGGAGGCCAGTTGGATGTAATAGCCGAGGTAGAGGCAGGCCAGCAGGAGGCTCAGCAAAGTCAGGCTTCGACATGCCAGGTATTTGACCGCGAGGCAGTGAGAGGAGCGTTTGGTCTTCAGATACTGTTCCACTAAAGGGTATTTGCTGCAGCCCTCAGTCAGGTCCAGAGCATTACTGTAGAATTAAGGTGCATGGGTAATTAGCATGAAACAATAACATGTTTTTATCTGAAAAAAAAAAGTTGCTTGATTGAAATATGAACAAAACTTTCCCCATATCTTATTCAAAGCAAATGAACAATGCCTTTGGCTACGTGTTTTACCAGACACTTGCAAACCTTCATGACACATATTCACTGGATTCAAGACTTGTCACATAACACCCACAATACAAATGTGCATTCAGTTAAATTTTATGAGACTGACTCAATGATCTTCGTGTTCTAATAATTTAACGTCCCTTAGTGGAGATTATAATGTAATTACAGCATCTTTAAACTTACAGTATACTCATCGAATAAGGTTTTGTATAAGCATTTGAAAACCTGCTGAAAACCAGTACAGGAAGCTGAAGCTCCAGTCTTGCTTTTTTGGTTCAGTCTTTCTTCAGTGTCATTTTCTGATGCTGCAGGCAAATGCTGTCAGCGAGAAAGCCTCAAAACTCACAGTACACCACCTGCCCAGCATCAGATAACAGACAGACAAAGTGAGCATTTAGCAGCTTAAGAGCCAGATACTTCTCCTAGAATTTGGTATAGACCAAACTAGAGTTAGAAGGACAGTAAATATTAGACATTCATCTGGTGGCAGGAAATATGACTCTAAATGAATACTACTGTTACTCTGTATCTGCTGGATGTGTAAACAGACAGCTGTAAGGTGGTAATACTGTATGTTAGCGCTATGTGTGCAATTTGTTCTGCTGCCCTCAAGTGACCCAAAACATCAACAAATGCAGGTTTAAACAAGATCCTGCCAATTTTCCCCAACAGTTAGCGGTCAAAGTTCACGATGCCCCATACTACATACTTAAATGTGGTCTATCACCAAACTGTATGATAGTCCCTTTTAGGACTGTAAATCAACATTTTAATACAGCAACATCACACTCTCTTCAAAACAGAAAATTAAAAGAGGTTTAAAGCAATTGCTTTTGATACAAGTGCGTGTTGTGACTGCCAGATACTGCCCCAGAGGGAAACAGTGAGTAAAACTGGTGACAGAGTATGGTATTTACCATTGGGTGTCCTCTGGTGTATCCTTGTTATCTAAGGATGCCAGATTCTTTGCCAGTTTTATGGCATGATTATAGAAGCGATCCAGCTCCTCCATGATAAAATTAAGGTCAGATGAGAGGTGCGGAGCTGCAGTCAAACGCCACAGCAGAGCAGGGATGTAGAGGAGGGTCGCCAGTAGGAGCAGGATGTATGGGAAGAACTGAAGGAGTCAGAGGAAGGGGTGAAAACACAACAGATGAACAACACATTCAAAAAATGGCATAAAAATCCAACTTTGATTTTTGGACATTATTAATGTAACTATAATCTTAGAAAGCACACAGTGTGAAGTGTACTTGGTTTCAAGCCTGTCTCACTAGTCAAGCAGTTACTTCCCAAAACTTTGAATGTCTTCATCATCACCATCATTTATTCACTCACAACCATGAATACATGGTGTGGAGTGCAAACATAACAGTCAAAGACATTACCCAAATAAGACATGCAGCAGAACATTTTCATTTAAACAAAGGTAATACATTCTTCAAAACAGCACCCAATTGTCTAATCATTTTTGGCCTATCTGCTTGCAACAATAGTATTACTTTAAACATAGAAGGGGATTTGAAATAATACTTTGGCAAATAATTTCTCTATAATACTTAATACAGGGTGAGCCATGGAAAAGTAGCCCACCTCCAACTTATCTTGTCATACTATTGCCGGCGATAGTATGACAAGATGAGTTGGAGGTGGGCTACTTTTCCGTGACCCACCCTGTATTGATATTTTTACATTAAAAGAAAATATGAACTTCATCACCCACTAAACTGTCATTAAACAGATTACAGAACCTCTGACCTCTAACCAAACCTTTATATCATCCAACCACCTTAGGTAATTTTAGTATTATTCAGTCTCATGTTACATATGGCTTGTCTGTATGCTTTCACATAATAGATCTTTTTCCATCTTAATTTCTTGTTTGAATTTTATATATAGATCACAAGATAACATGTTTTTAACTCACTCTGCCATTTTTACAAGAACTGGTCTTTCAACCACTGTTCCACAGTTGGTTTCAACCAATTAATGTCATGACAATGTTGTGCTGTTCATACATAAGACAAACCACATTTGTCTAATATCCTCTTAATCTGAAGCAGCGATGGGGACACATATATCCTATTACCATACAAACTAAGTAAACAAGTATATATAATCTTACATACTTAGTGTCTTTACCTCTTAACAAACCACCCCAAAAGCCAGTAAGGCTTTTTTTGACTATAACATTGAGTGGGTACCTTCCCACCATAAACCAAATCATTACAAGTTGACATTTTAACTTTTACCATAACTTTGTTATAGTTAAGACATTTCATATGCAATTCTCCCAGTACATCAAACCTTTCAGACCCCCATACATCACATGCATATAGCATAATTGGTTTTACTAACTTATCAGAAAGGTTTATCATAGTGTCTCTAAAGAGCAAACATAACTCTGGAAGCTTGATTATACTGCTCCTGTATAGTATGTTTAAATGAACCACTGTGATTCATTATCACACCAAGCTATTTAAAACAATGAACAATCATTACATTTTCTTCACTACATGTAAACTTAAGATTACTAATGTTGACTTTTCCATGACCCAAGATCATAACTTTAGTTTTTTTTTACCGTTAAGTGCCATTTTCCATTCCTTACAGAAATCACACATATAATCCTGGGCTTTCTGAAGCCCATTTTTTGTTGAAGACATCATTATCGTATCATCCACATACATCGATACCATAAGTTTAAAATAGCCATCTATCTGTGTATCACCCAGCTGTATAGGGTGACAGCCATTAAGCAACAAATATTCCTCTAAATCATTAATGAACAAAGCAAATAATAAGAGTGATAGAAGTTGGTCTAACTCTTGCTAAACTTACAAAAACTCAGATCTACTACTGTTGGCAAAACATGTGATTTTATACTGTTGTACATATTTCTAATACTTCCAAAATGTTCTTTAAAACCAGTTTTCAATCATTTATACCATAATGCATCTCTTCATACTAAATCAAATGCCTGACCCTGGACTGGTATTATGGATTTGATTGTGTTTTCTGGACTTCTGCACAGTTTGCTGTTAGTTGTGAACAGTAAAGAGACAGATATCTACTTTATCTCGTCTGGCGTTATAATTGAGTCCACCTCAAACATTACTGACAGCTTTACTTGCCAATCCTGACATTCGGCCCTGTTACTTAATTTAGAATATGACATATATTTGGCAATACCTTAAGCGATTAATGCTATTAAGTCTTAAATGTATCAAGACTTTAAAAAACATCACAATGCAAACATTACCAAACTCGCAGCACTCATTATTCTCCCTGCCAGTGTACCTACCTTGTGTAGCCATAGTGGCGAACCGACCGCTTTTTGCTGCACTGCTGCCCAACAGAAAGAGTCCATGTATATTGCCTGCCTCAAGGAGAAGTGAGAGGGAGCGAAGCAGCTGATCTGGGTGCCTGGGTGACAAGGGCGAAGATGTGTTCAGCGCTCACAAGCATTTTGGTGATTTAGCCAAGCACTGCAACAAATATCTGTCTTCCCACTCATGGCCTAATTTGTTGGTGTGTTGTTTTCAGAATACTTTATGTCAATAATTATGACATTTCCTGTTATGGCAGGGGTATAACAGGAAGTTCAGTCAGGCATGTACAATTCACTAGTGACCCAGATTGTCACCTGACAGTAATATGTTAGTAGCAACAAATAATTTTTATCACTTTTAAAAATCAGCTAATTATTCTCTCAGTTAATCTAATACTTTTTTATTCTGTAAAATTTTCCAAAAGTAGTAGATAAATGAACATTAGGTGATGTCTTCAGATTGCTTCTTTTTTCAATCACTCATATATTCGGCCATAATGTCCCTGCAGATTCTCAGTCATCCAGGCCATACAGTAGTAAGCTGAAAAAACTTAGAAAAATCAACTGGACTAGATTTTTAGGTTCAAGACACCAACTGGGAGAAACCAGAAACAAGAGGGATACCACTGTCATCCCTTATGTGGCTGGTTTATCAAAGAAGTTAAAAAGGATCTTTCACAACCACAATATCCCAGTTAACTTTAAACCAGGGAACACCCTGCGGCAGAGACTGGTCCACCCGAAGGACAAAACACCCAGACATAAACAGAGTGATGTGGTGTATGCAATTAAGTGTAGTCAGGAGTGTAACGATGTGTACATTGGTGAAACTAAGCAGCCGCTTCACAAACGCATGGCCCAACACAGGAGGGCCAACTCCAGTGGACCAAAGTCAGCAGTCCACCTCCACCTGAAGGACAAAGGACATTCTTTTAAGGACAGTGAGGTCCAGATCCTCTCCAGAGAACATCGCTGGTTTGAGAGGAGTTAAGAAAGCTATTTTTGTCCAATTAGAACACCCCTCACTAAATAGGGGTGGTGGACTAAGACACAACTTGTCTTCCATCTACAATCCTGTTTTGAGATGTCTGCCCAAACATGCCCACCAGGACAATAGGCGTTGGTCCACAGGAAAGGATTCAAGGACAGGTAACGACTCTCACTGATACTGGGCTACAACATTGTTGGCCATCAAAGGACTCAAACACCACCGATGGCGATAAATATCTCCGACTCAATGCCAGTCAGGCAGAACTGATGAAGAGGTGAAACGTCTTCGACCTAAAAACCTAGTCCAGTTGATTTTTCTAAGTTTTTTTCAACTCAGTCATAATGCAATATTAACAAAAGCATCAAGTCTGCACACTGGAGAGCTAAATCCACCAAATGTGGAGGATCTTTTTTATTGATAATAGACTTAACAATTACCCTAATAATTGCCTTTCCATCTTGTGCCAATAAACTAATCAATTAACAAATTGATGCACCTCTAATACTAGTTATCAAAACTCTGCTTAACTTGCTTTGTTTTATGAAAAGTGGAAATAATGATCCACTTATATTTTGATAGGGCCATATAAATAATTTAGTGATTGTTTCTTGCTGCCACATTTCTGCCTGAACACTGATGTACTGTCATTTTGTACAGTGAGCCTTTTTCACAGAGTAAACATTACATGTCACAGTAGGAAAAGCTGATCATTTATCACTCAGGTCTAGGTCAAGTCAACATATCTGCTGTGTAAAAAAGTCAAGGCATCTCATATTTCTCAGTTTAAAAGACAGTCCTCTTCCTGTGTTTCATGTATCTAATGCAGTAGGGAAAATCAGTGTGGGATTTTGGCCATATTGTCTTTGAGTCTTAGGCTCTCTCACTAATGGATGCTCTGTTTTGAGTATCTCTGGCAGGACTGTCAGTGCTCTACAGATAATGGCAACCACAACAGACTGCAGGCATTATAACCCGAGCTGATTACTGTAAAAATCTGTTTAGCTGATGGAGCTGTAGCTATTGTGTTGACACTAAAGAGGGTGTCATTAAGATTAACAGTACTTGCATATACATCATCTTGTGTTTGTTTATGTAAACTATTCTGCAAATCACATGGGACCAGCTTTGTGTATAAGGGTATAATTACATGTACAAGAGTCCGTCTTAACGTGAAACTGCCCATACACATGTGGCCACAGTTTCCATCACCACCACCACCAGCAGCAGCAGCAGTGCACCCCTGCCAATCTGTCTGGGCATGAGCTATGCAGAGGAGTAGAGACTTCAGCCACACCTTCCTATAGACTATGGGCACACCTCTGTCTTTTTTTGTTTGTTTTGGCTATTTAAGTAAATATTAATCCCCTACAAATATCTGTTTGATACAGCTCTGCATATACGTGTGGTGTTAAAGGATGCTCACAAATTTTAACGACTCACCAACTGAAATCTCTTGGGCGAAAGCGAGCGAGATGAGAAACAAAGGCAGTCCCACCGCTAGGAACGTGACTATTTTGTCCATGGTCAGCTCCAGACGCACGCCTTTATACTTCCCCTCGGTGGCGTCCTTCAACAGAAAGTCTGAAAAAACGTACTCCGTGGCTACGTGGGCAATCGCCATGACAAAGGGGAACAAAGACAAAAAAGTCGGTGTTATCTAAATTTTGGAAGAGTCCGTTGCTTCTCAGTTAGCCAAAAGCGAATTGTGTCTGAGGTTCAAATGAATGAAAGATGTCCCGCAGAGTAGAAATGTGAATAATGTAGAAAACACCGAGCTTTTATTGCTGACCCATCTCCATCCTAAGATGGGACTGATGATTGAACCCGCTGTCCCGTTACTATACCCCTCACATCACTGACAACACGGGGGAGCTTGCTGCCTGACAGACGCTAGAGGGCGCTACTGTGCCGCAAAAGTGCCCACGCAAAGCAACAACACTCAATCAAGTCAAAGCCTTTATTTTTGAGTGGCATGAGATCATTAACGTAGGTCCAGTTTCTAATTAAATTAATTTGCTTACTTATTCTGCTGCTTATTTGCAGTTTTTAGGAACTTTTTAATTAGTGTTGGCTAGTATTCATGTGTTTTATTCTAAATGAAAGCAGCAATACCAAAATATGAGCTAAAAGAAATGCCCCTTTAAAGTATTATGATGTTTTTAATAGCATTGGATTACAACTCATGCATTTAAATGTAAGCATAATTTTTATATTGCATTTGGTCAAGGTGGACTTAATTTGAACTACAACCATGCTGTTGCATGGTTCTCACTTTAATTTATTATGGGTCAATTGTACATTAATAAGCATTACTGTAAATGCACCAGAATTAGCCAAAGGGCGATTTGTCATCTGTAGTCCCTGGACAGATGTTTAAAAAGGGGTTACAAAATAATGAAAGTTATGAATAAACATAGGTGAAATTAAGAACATTACCAGAACTCATCATCTACAGTTTCAGTAACAGCAGTAACAGACAGCAAATAGCACAGTACAGACAGACTGACAGCAGCAAGGTGGGAATGATGTTTATGTTTATAGTGCTGCATGCTAACAGTGATATGAGAAATTACCATAGAATGGATAGATACATTCTAGCTGGTTCTGTTGACATATAAGTTCTTATGAACCTTTGTATGGATCTGAAAATTTAAAGTCTGAATTTAACCTAATTTTCACCTGAGCCTTGAATCAAATGCTTGGTCTATCAAGATTTTTGTATTCTGATACAGCCTGTAGCCTCTCCCCTGAAACACTGGAACTGTTTTTCTCTGTGCAGAACATTCCATTTTAGACATGTTTGGTTGTAGCATGCTTTAGGCATGCTGCTAAATGAAGCCTGGAATTTGTAAGTTTATTAGCAACACATTAATACTGTTGCAATGCACATAAATTTTATATGTCATTTGCATACATAAATACATACATAAATTCAAGTTGTCCGTGGTCGCGCCACCTGTGCATGTAGTGGCCCGGGGCCCTCGGCTCCAAACAAAACTTCATTGTACGTGTCACAATGTTACAGTGACAATAAAAATAAAGCTTCTTCTTCATCATTTGGATGTTAGGATCAAGACATGCAGATGGAAGATCATTGATATATAATGAAAATAGCAATGGACCCAAATCAGATCCCCGTGGGACGCCTAGAGACAAAGTGCAGATAAATGATGATTCTATACTTGGACCCACTGAGATCAATTGAACAAATATGATTCAGCTGTTTTTAGTGCATCTGAAAAAAGTCAATAGCAAGAAGAACTCCAATGCTCTGAACAACGAACACAGTACCAACAGTACCACCTTTATCCATTAGACTTTTTAGAAGGTTAATCTTTTTTGTATTAAAAAAGTGGCTGTCTTTGATTAAAATCTAAGAGCACTGGGTGCAGGGCAAATGAGTATTTAAATGACAAATGATTTGTTCAGCTACCAGCTTCTCTGTAGACGCTGTAGGTAAAATGTCGATTGGTTTGTAGGGATCTCCTTTAGGTTATCATAACATGTATGTCAATACTTACTTTGTATGAAAATAATAAAATTATGAAAATAATCATAACTAAGCTGACAAATGTAGTGGAGTAAAAATACATTAGTAAATATACAGTGATATTTATTGGAGTTGTAAAATATGTAAATACTCAAAATTATACCAAATGCACCGAGTTGCAGAAAATGTGGAATATGATGCACTGCAACAGAAGAAAACGAATCTCATTAAGTAAAGTGACTGAGAACTACACTGTCATTTTAAATCTGAAAATATAAATGTTTCTATCTGCAATTAAAAGCCTACATAAAACATATACATCAGGCAATCTTAATAAATAGCCTAATTGATAAAACAGCCTATATAATCCTCTATCTCTTCCACATTTAGAGGGCCAATATAAACTAAAACGTTATATTTGTTTAGTATATTACTACTGGAGCTAAATTTTAAAAACATCCCATCTTATTGTAAATATCGATTAAAACAAAAACATTTGCGACAGTCTTGCGTGCTTTGTGACAGAGGTAGGTTACAAAAAGGTGCGGGTTATTTGTGCGACAGATCGAGGGAACAGGTCTTTGAGGAAGATGTGAAAGACGAAACTTTATCAGGTAGCTAAATAACCAACTGTTTTGGAAATTGTTCGCCTTTTCAGAACAGTAATGGATTTACCGTAAGCATGCAGGAGCGGTAGCGTGTTTGTTTAAACATTAATGGTGCCTGTTGTTAGCTTGAATGTACCGCTGGCTCTTACGTTCAGCTAAACGGCTAACTTCGCTAACAGGCTAATTTCATGTAGCAAACAGCACTTGTACGCGCAGAGAAACGAAAATAAATTAGTTAGCCTGTAGCTAACCCAACGGCAGTTTGGTTAGTTTACATAGTTCGCCGCGGTAAAACATAACTGTGGGCTATACGCTTGTTAGCTGAAGAAAACCAGTTAAGACTTCGCACATTTGTGAACGGATGTGTCCCCTTCATTGTTTGTGATTGAACAGTCGCCCTGTTGGGTCAAACGCACTTTGACGACCAGACCAGTGCTATCATAGATGAGTCACTAGGACTGACTTGGCACAAGTGTTTCAGTGTTTTATGTTAATGTGTACTAAAGAACCTGAGCAACGGGTCATTAAGAAGCGATGCAACGCTAGTATAACTAGCCTTTTAAATGTCATTTCCTCTTTAACAGGAAAGTATGAGAGAGAAGAGAGGCGAAAGTATGGTGAAAGATCTCTTTGGGTTGTATGATGGAAGGATTGGAAAAGGAGAGATCCATACGCAGCTTTAGACCCTTCGCATGGCCCAGTCACCCCAAAACGGAGGCCCCAACCCTGCTATGGAAGCTCAAAGACTGCTTCTCCACCAATGAGACAACCGCCCCTCCTCACACAGATACCGAAGTAGGTATTTATCTCTATGCAGGCCAGAGATTGGTCAGGCTGTACACAGACAGGCACTGTAGAGCATATTAGATGGATTTTATTTGTATTCTGAACCTTGGATTAATATCAAAATGGTTCAGGTGCATTGCCATAGATCAAAGTCTGGACAAAAGTCCACTATGAAATGATGGCCTCCCCCAAGGAGGTTATGTTTTTATCCCAACACACGACGCCTGAAGAGGAGGGAAAATTGGCAAATGAGTACAATACCAGAGTCATCTAGATTTGACAGATTTTAACCTATGTTAACTCTGACAGACTGCTGGATACTGTTCATGCATCAAACATAAAGACATTTTCACAAGATAAGATACAAATCACATGCTCAGCCGCTCCTGCTCAGTTCATAGCCACTGAAAAAAACAACTCTAGAGACGTGTAGTTCTGTTAGGATGAAAAGAACCATCATTGCAGTTTTCAAAGTTCAATGTTTGTCTGGGACCATTTATTTTTTATTTTTGCTGCCAACTTTCAAATAAAGGTATTAATGCAAAAATGACAAAAACTACTACACTAAAGCTAGCTGCCTTGAGAGTTCATTGCCTTGCATCTTAAGAAAATGCAATAAAATTAACCACCACACAGCAAAATAAACATCTTTATCACACACATGCACATGTATGCAAATAGGCTGCAGGGTGAGTAAACACATCCAGAACCATTAAATAGTAAAAAAAAGAAAAAACTGACTGAAAACCCCTTTATTTTACTTGATGAAACTGAGTTAACAGTCAGTTTTCTATTACATTCTGTTTATATTATTCTGCCATTACTGTATACTTACAATTATTTAAACTGGTCGACTAGTAATCAAGAAAAGACTATGGAGAGGTTAACAGAAAATATCAGTAATAACATCTAAATCAAGCATTAAACATGTTTCGAAATATTAAAAAGGTTTTCCTAATTTTCCAATATAGATTATCTGGTTGCATTTTGTCACTTTGCCAACTTTTAAAAATGCTCCATATATGTTGTCAAATTAAATTTCTCATGTGTGATTTTACTGCTTGTTTTGTCCTACGGTATGTTACTGCTAAACCTTCAGGGCCACTGTAAAAAGAACTTTGTATTTGTACTTCTTCCACATCTTGTGCTTTTTACTATTTCTAAATATTTGATGATGTTCTGGGATAAGCCAAACACATCTTTATACCAACATTTTTTTCCAGTGATGTAGAGAAAACAGAGTGTGGACTCATTGTCCTGCATAAAAAGTGAAAGATTGACAGAGCAAATAAAATTCCATATTACTTAAACTTACTCCCAGAACTCAGTTGCAGCAGAAGTGGTGATGGTCTGATTTTTAGTCAGATCTGATGAGTTTAAACTCTGAAGACCAAGACAGTTAGCTGGGTTGGGGAACAAACCAGATAGATTTGATGGTTAATGTGAAAGGACTCATTGTCTAACAGTATAATATTACAATGATGGTGGCTGGACAGACAGTTATCTATGACACATGTTCCAGAGAAACAAATTTAACCTGTAAGTGGACATATTTTTCACAATAGGCTGGCATGAATCATATGCCGTATTTATAACCTGTACTATTATGTTACCTTAACCACTGTCCTTAGAGAAACCACTCTGTTGTACAGATGACAACTGCAGGTAACAGGTTTATATGCAGAGATAAACTATAGTACATTCAGATTCTAACTTTACCTGTATTCCAGGTGTTGTCACAGCTGGCCCAGGGGAGCTGGGATCTGAACGAGAACACCAGATAGAAGAGGGCCCAGACTTGGATTATAATGTAGCTAAAGTCATAAAGTTTCATCATGAAATATCCGTATCCAATTCCTGAAAAACAACAAAACAAATCCTCAGTTCTTGTCTTTTGAGAGTATAATGTAAATGCAAAGTGTGACTGAGGCCTTTTCTTTTGTTAGTTTTTCATTTTAGTTCATAGAGGAAGATCCCAACAAATCCCCATTGAGCAGCACTTGGTGACAGCCAGGAGGAAAACTCCCTTTAACAGACGAAGCCTCCAACAGACCCCGGCTCTTAGATTTTAGTTGAACACACATCTCACCTTGTGCCAGTGGACACAATTTCCTCCAGCAGGTGATGAATCCTTCCTGGGTGTACTGACCACTTGCAGTCTTTTTTTTTGTTCACAGCATAACTCAAAAAGTAATGAGTGGATTTTGATGATTTTTTTGTAGGGTATGGCCTACAGAATAATCATTAGGTTTTGGTGCTGATCCGGATCATCGCCTAGATCCAGGAATTTGTTTTAAACAGGATTCTTCACTATTGTGCAATAGGGTCAATTTCAATATTTTTGCTGTGCCTAGAATGGTTAGACAAACATTGCACGATAACATCCACATAAGATCTAACACACTAAAGTATGATCTGGATGTTGGTGATCCAGAATGCTCCAATCTACAAGGGCTCTAGGAAAGCTCGCTATTGTGAGACAACAAATCATTCTACTGACTTGCAACTAAGATCAGGTTTTAGCTGAATCTTTGCTGACGCAGAAGGGGGGTTAACGGGTATCTTCAAAAGTTACAGAGCTAGATCAGATGAGAACAGCCAGTAGTGAAATATCTTTTTTTTTTTTTTTTATTGAATAACTTTCAAACTAATAGTGATATCAGTGCAATTCCAAATGTTGGTGGAAGGTTTTCATGATCGGGGAATAACTGAGGGTCAAACTGTCATGGCAGTAATGCTTTTAGATGGTGTAGTGGTTAAAGCAAACAGAATATAATCAGAATATAGTTAATACTAGTTGATGCACAACATGTGGTATGGAACTTTTATCTTACAAGGGGAACAGAATCACCTCATGCTGATTGTTTATTTTTATGTTCTTGTTTATTTGTAATCTGTTATGAATAGGAAGTTATTTAATATAGTTAATTTGTTCACCGTAGTTAATCACTACTAACTTCATAAGAGTGTGAAGCTAGAGATTTGACTGAGTTGTTTGATGAAGTTATGTTTCAGTGGAGTATGAGGGAAATACTCTGCTAAGGTTAAAAGTTTATTGAGTTCTGTAATAAGAAATTATTTTAGATTTAACTTTAGATGCAGGAAGAGGTAATGTTTAACTACAGCTGTTAGGGTTCAGTCTTAGGCAAACATGGTCATATTTTCAGTTTCCTCTTTGCTTTTGTGGTTCTTGTTTGTTTTGTTTTTTTGCAGAGTTTGAAAGTTCCATGGCCTTTGGACCACGGGAGGAGGGACTGTAGTGGTTTAAGTTGCATGTTAATATGGATTATGTAATAGAATAGAGTGTTTGGGGGTTCACTTTTAAGTTCATGTGAGCTGAACAATGGACTTATATAATTTGGCCAAGATGTTTCCTGTTTTTGGGTACATCTCAGGGTGTTGTCTCCTAAAAGTGGAGACAGGAAGCTAAGTTTGGAAATTGACATAACAGCCTAAGAAAGCTGTGGATAAAATAGTGAGGCTGAAGGGGGTAGAGAAGAAGGAAGGATGGTCGTGAGTTTGCTTTTGGACCCGACCTGGGTAGGGGGACTCTGACTGTACCCTGTGATCAAGACTGTCTGCTTCTGTGACAATCTTCTTATTTAATACTGTATCTATTCCATTGCAGGAGGAGTGATTCTGTTCTCTGTTCCCCAACTACCAGATTACCTATTTAACTACTACTCTGTTCAGAATAACTGTAATATTAAATGATTATTTAAATTGGGGTGATTTGTCTGAATTAATTTATTCTATCACATTCTAGCCATGACAATGGCATTATGGGGAAACTGAAGTCCCTTAAGTAGTAGGGCTGCAGTGAGTGGCTATTTTCAGTTGATCTGACAATTATTTCTGTGATTAATCGAATGTTTAAAAAACATGCAGAAATCTCTTTTCCACATTATAAAAACAAATTCATTTAAACTATGGTTTTACTATGTTTCTGTGCGGTGCATTATTAAACAAAAAATGTATTCAAGAATAGAACATTTATAAAGTGCACAGTATGCCCTTACAGTGTTAACAAAAACACTGAAATATTTGATATAAAATAATTTTTATTTTTGTAAATATATCATGCTAACTTAAAGAGCTCAATACATTTACTCCTATGTAGAAAGTCACTTTCGGCTTTTCCCGTTTAGGGGTCGCCACAGTGACTCGTCACGCTGACGACTCGCATGTTGATATTTGGCACGTGTTTTACGCTGGGTGCCCTTCCTGACGCAACCTGGATTTGACTGGATTTGAATCTGGGGCGCCGCGGCAAGAGCACTGCGCCTTGAGCACTAGCCTAATGCATTTATTCTTATGTACTCTGCACAATCCCCAGTAACTTGCATGTGTCATCAATGTTCTTGCACACACCTGTACAACTTGGTTTTGCTTACTGTGTTTAATATAGTCCTAATGCGTGGCTTTTTACGTTTCATGTTTACTTGAATGCAACACAAATGCCGTTAGCACCCATTATTGGCAGCCTACACAAACTATCATCATGTTCCTAAATGTATAATTAGCATCATAATATAGGTAACAACATAACCGCTACATAAATTCAGGTATGTGTTGATTTTAGTTTCATTATTTCTTACATTATTAAGTTAATTAGCTCCAGGCTCCCCTTCTTCTGTAATTCTAATTTTCTTCAACTGCTAATGCATTAGCGCCATGCTCCCCTGCCATGACGGACACATTTTGCATACTGGGCACCGGATAGTATTCTTTCTGATTGTAAAATCAAGTGCTCCAAAACTTGAGATGACTGATCGCCCACTTTTTTCTGCTGTACCCATGCTCAATACTATCCACCACTTGTGCTGTTTTCCAAGTATTTTGTTAAGCCACACTGATGTAGTCACCTGATCTCTGACCCAGCCATTTCACACGTTCTTCTTCATTAGCACTGCCCCGAGCATTTCCTGTAGTGCATTACAGTTACAAGTGAACATTTAAACGGTTTTATAATATGAAGTGGTGTGACTAAAATTCTGTATTGACGAATTTTTATAGTCGATGTCGTCAATTATGTTGACTAGTTATTGCACCCTACTATGTAGAGGTTTGCACTTACTGAGTGGTCGAATTGACCATTATTTGACTTGTCTACAATATGTCAGGACTTTATTTATTGTCAAGCAGTGCAGGTTCTGTCTGACCTTGTTCCTTTAAAATAATATCCTTTTCTGAATTTTAAATGTTTTCACATTATAGAATTAAGGAATGGTGTTTGCAATAGAAATATCAGAGATCAATATATGTCAACTTTTAAAATCTTTTATGATGACTTTCCATATGGTTGAAAGTACCTAGTGCTAAAGTGCAGAAAAATACCCATATTTTGGTGGATTAGAAACCGGTGAGACTGTGATAAATGTACAAGGAATGCAAAAGGTAAAATCAGAACCAAAGCAGCTTGTACAGAATGGTGACAAATGAAAGGAAAACCCAATGTAAAGTGTCTCAATAAGGTGTTGGGCCATCATGTGCCACCAGAACAGCTTCAGTTTGGAATTTGGCCTTGTCCTCTGCATAACCACACTGTAACTAGGAAAGGCAGTTATCTCCTGCTGTGAGGTGACTGTGTTAATTGACTTCCTATACATAACCTTGTTGTTTCCACACTAACCACAATAATCCAGAGGACTAATGCGAGATGATCATTTATTTTTTAAATTCCAGAACAGTTACATGGAGAGCAGAAAGGCTGTACTGGAACTGAAAGATGTCCCTCCTCCTCCTCCTCCACCACACCATACTTCCATCTCCCAGTCATCCCAGCCATCCCAGCCCTTCTCTCTGGCACCTCTCCCTTTGCCTCCTGCATGCTTGCCTCCTCCTCAGCTTACACAAGATTCCCACCAACAAAAGCCACCACCAAAACATCAGCAAGAGGGGCCTAGCCCCAAAGTAAGCAATTGCACTCACTGTGATTATTGCAGCACAGATGTTTATGGGCTTTTAGGTGGTGGAGGTGTTGCTGGTAGCAGTAGCAGCATTGCTGGTGTTGTATCACTTTATACATCACCAGGCTCTTTGGGAGCACCTGTTAGTACCTGCACTATTAGCAGGTGTGGGCCTTGTTCTTTAGCCTCCTCATCTGCTCATAGGTATAAACCGAACCTGAGCCATAGAAGTGGAGGTGACGCTCCCAATCCTTTACTCAGTCTTGGTTACAAACCTCAGCTGCCCTCTTCTGTCGCTACCTCTCAACCTTTGTCATCACACCCCTACCTCCCCTGCTGCTCAGGGCTTCTCCATACCCACCCATCTGTACAGCATCCATACAGTCAGTCCAGCCTGTTTCCCTCTTCAGCCCCTCCAGCTTTTTCTCTCCCCTGTTTTTCCTCTCAACCTGCTCCCTTGAATGACTCTTGCCTGGCCTCTTCTGGCTACTATACCTGTGGTGTGGACTGTAGCACAGCAGCCAGGAGATCCCAGAGAAGCACATTTGGTGATCACCCAACCACCACCACCATCACTACTACAACCACCTCAGCACAATTCTGCTCTAATCCTGTGCACCTAAATGTAGAACGCACAGTTTTTGTGAAGGGTGCACACTACTGCAAGGAGTGCTTGTTGAAGGTTGGTAGAATTCTCTCTTCAGTCACTCTGGTGTTTTGTATTTATGTGCCATGACGGTCACTGTAGGTACCGTAACTTTTATGCTGTGTGAATGGATTACCTTAATCATGCCAACTTGAAGCTAGGTTTGTCTTAATGTTGTTGCAAAATACATTTGCATAGTATTACTTGTTGCTGAGGTCAGTTTTATTTTTGTTTTACCTGACAATTGTATTGATTTGTGCCTGTTTGCAGCCTGTGAATGGTCTGACATCAGAGTCAGACAATGTATGGCCCAGTGTTCCTCTTCCCCAGACTACTCCTCTGCCTATACCTATTTGTAATGGTTGTGGCACATCCTCTGATGGCATGGTGCTCATGCCAATGACCAACCTTGGCAACACTGGCCAGAAGTATGGTTAGTGAACAACATATTGTTCAGTTCTTGCATGAATATTTATTGAAATTTTGTGTTGGATTGGTCTCGAGGATCTTGATTGCATATGAAATGTTTTTCCATCCAAATTAAAGCTACAATATGCGACTTTTAGGAATGAAGCTAGTATTAGCATGACAATCGGTTCATTCCCTTCTGTGCAGCCCTCCATCTCCCTGCTCTAATATGCTCTGCCCTGAGGGTCATAGTGTTGGTCATTATGAAATGAAAATAAATAATAATGCTATAAAACTTAGCAAAGTGAAATAATGCCAAATCAGTGCATGGTTGGAAATTCCTGTTCCCTCTGTCCATTTATTGAAGGTTTTGCTGATATAAATTCTTGATATAAACTAGACTTTGTCTATTTTTGCTTTTCTTCACTTAAAAAAAAAAAAAAAATCTTTTCTTGCCCGTCTTGTGTACACTGTCTTAGCCATTGACAGACATACGATGATGGGCATGGCGTCACCACTTCCCTCCACTATGCAAAAATGAAGCCAAAATATCATGAATATGGCAGTCACCATCTTGCTTTTTTGCAACCAGGTTCTGAGCAGTAGCAACCAGAAGTGGAGTGACAGCATAGAACCATTAATCAAAGCTGCCAAAAACACCTCTTTCTATATCATCAAATAACCTACTTAAAACAGACTTGCCAGAAAATGCCCACTTGTACACATATCGGCATGACAAAAACCACAGAAATGACCTCTGGGGAAAAAATTTGAGTTTTTAATGTGGCCCATGTCTCATCCACTAACATGGAGGTGGTGGGATTTATTACTTAATATTGCAACCAGCCATCAGGGGGTTGTTGAATTTTGGTGGCTTCACTTCTGGGAGTTCTTAAGCCTGTCCATTGTTTTTACAGTTGATGGTCTTAGCTAATGCTGGTATTGGGAGCTTACCAGCCTGCAAGTCAGCCATGGTGATGTCTGTAGCTATGGTGCAAGGGAAGCAATATACCTGAAACATGTTCACATACTGTTTGCCAGCCATGAGCTTCCACCCCTGACTTTCTCTGGTTAGAATGGCAAGCATCACTCAGAAACTTGGGAAGGAAATAATGTCTGTGCTGCCGCCAGGCTGTTCAGTGAGTCTGGGTCACAAAAGCCTTTGACAGCACCACCTCCGTCTTGGAGACTATTTCTGTTAATAGTATTCTAAATGAGTTGCATATTGTAGCTTTAATGGCAGTGACACTAAAATAAAAAAATATGAAGCTGTTAGATGTTTAAACTACCCAGGATTTAAAATTTTTGTTGGCTGTTTGCTAACTGTCTGTTAGGCTCTCCAGAGAATAGTGGTCCTGAAAACATCCCTCCAGTGGGTGTCTTCTGGGACATTGAGAACTGCAGTGTTCCTAGTGGACGCTCTGCTGGAGCAGTGGTCCAGCGGATTCGTAGCCGTTTCTTCCAGGGTCATCGTGAAGCAGAATTCATTTGTGTCTGTGATATCAGCAAAGAGAGTAAAGCAGTCATCCAAGAGCTCAACAACTGCCAGGTACCAGCTGTACTGGGAAAGATTTCTGTGGTTATTTGAAAAATAGTTGTATACCACTGTGCCCCCACCATCAGACATTGTCTTTCAAAAAATGGCATGAAAGTGCCAAGTAATTTGTGACCAAATAAAGATGGCAAAGAAAATTAAGCAAGTGAGAAAAAGCCTGAAGCTATGTATACATCCATTTGCTTCACCAGGTCACTGTTGCACATATCAATGCCACAGCCAAGAATGCTGCAGATGACAAGCTTCGTCAGAGCCTACGGCGCTTTGCTGAGACCCACACTGCACCTGCAACTGTCGTACTGGTATCCTGTGAGTTCAACTCAGGTTTACAATCAACTACATCCTTGCTACTACAAAGGAGAATGTGATAAAAAGGGTTATCTTTTTATCCTTAACAGCGGATGTGAACTTTGCAAGTGAGCTGAGTGACCTGCGTCATCGACATGGTTTCCAGGTAATCCTGGTCCATGGCAACCATACATCTCCGGCCCTGCTACAGCATGCCCATCGTCATGTGGCCTTTCAGGATATCACAGCTGATTTGCCACCACGAATGCTTGTTAAATCACAGGTAGGCCTCACAAATGCTTTAGGACTTTTTGATCTACTCTGTATTAAATAAGGGAAATTGGTGCTGGAAAAAGTAACCTAGCCAAGTCTAATTTTAATGTGGACCAAGAGAGTGAGGCAGAATATGAACTTGACTATATTCACAATTATTTGTTAAATTTTCTTTCAGGGTAGCTAGAGTTTTTCCTAATCTGTACTAAGACGTCCAAATTGTTTTTCAACTAGAAGGAAGACTACTGCTTTAATTTTTTTTTTTTTTAAAGTGTAAAATATACAAACCAGACAGGCGCGCTGTCTCTTCCTCCCCTCCCTCAGCCCAGTTTCAACCTCTATGTGCACAACCTCCCTGTCAACTGTGACAAGAGCCTGCGGAACTCTGTGAAGCTCAGGCTCCGTCGCCTGTCAGACAACTGTGGTGGCAAGGTGCTAAGCATATCCCATGGCACCGCAGTCCTTCGTTTTGGCAGCCGAGAGGCAGCTGTGCGTGCCCGAAAGCGAATGGAAAATGAGGACGTGTTTGGCCACAGAATCAGCCTCTCCTTCTCCCCTTGGCCCAGAGACGATGCAAGTCCTGAGCCTGAGCATCAGTCTCAGTCCCATAACTTGCTTCAGGCTCTGCCCCAGCCCTTTCAAACTCAGGATTCAGTGTTCGCCCCTCCCCCTTCTATATCCTCCTTCTCTTTTCTGCCCCTGGAGAAGACCAGGTCACCCAGGAGGCCACGGCGAGCAACACGCCCATGCCACACCCCTGGCCCACTGCCTGAAAGGCCCTACAGCCCCAGGAGGGGGTGTAGTGGGCCCCCCGGTGGTCCCCCAGCCAAGCCCCATCAGGTCAGCAGACTCATTAGTGCCTGCTTCCCTTTACCCTCCATTGGCCTCTGCCTTGTCAGGGCTGCTTTGTGAATCACAGTGGCTTATCCCCATCCCTCCAGTGTCCTTTTCATTGCTGCTTTGATTAACAGCTTGTAGCTGCTCGCTAAGCTTCATTGGTCTTCCTGTGCTAGCTTGTAGTATGCATTAGTTGTTGGTAGTGCTTCATATATCCCCCTGCTGTTCTGCATGTGCATTGGTCATTCATATTAATGCATGAATTAGCCCATTGCTTTTATGTCTTTTTCCGACTGTGTTTCATCCAGTTTGTCAGTGCTGCTATACTACATCATGACAATTTCTGTGTTCTGTCCAAAGTCTGCTTTATACCTGTATTTATTTTTGAGTGATACAGATTTTCACTATGAAGAAATGGACCCCTGGTGGCTGGAATGACTTGGCTTGTCTTTTTCTTGCTTGCTTGATTGTGACCTAACAGACCAGCATGAAAGGAAAACAATCACATCAATGATTATAGTCTAAGCAGACTGAAACTGGGAATGGGAATTTTAAACTTTTCTCTGTAGTTTTGCGCTAATAAGAAATTTCAGTTAGATATTTACCCAATATCGTGGAATGCATGAAAAACTAAGAATTACTAAAGTGACAAGATTTCTATACAGATAGAGGTCCATATGACTAAAAACAACAACACATGATTTTTTTCAGTTTTTACCACTGGTGTGTTTCATTTTACTCAAAAGCATTTATAATTAAAGAATAGTCTCATAGCTGTATTATCAGGTGTGTGCTAGTGGAATGAAGTATGGCACTTGTTATTTACAGCATGATGACAAATTAAGTGTTTCTGCAGCTATCATAATGGCAGTTTTATTGGCTGTACCTTAGCCTTGTACTGCTCTGTATTATACTTAATGTACTGTATTATACAATACATTAAGTCAGTACCTTGCACAAAATAAATCATTATCAGCCACTGTGATCTTAAAAGGATAAGCCAGTCATTTTTTATATTAACAGTATTTTCTACAATCCTTGTACAGAGACAAACTAACGATGGATTGCCTCTGGGTGACATGTTTTGTCATTTCGATACAGGACCATACAGCAGTTTGGAACTTTTCGGACAACATTTTTAACACGTATACAGATCTTGTATTTTTAATTGTTTTTGAGCAATGGAGGTTTACGGCACAGATGGATAAGGTCATCCTAATTGGAGACCGACAGGAGACTGAATGGAGGCAGTTCACTGTTAGCTTTGGTCTATGTATGGGGATTGTAGAAAATGCTATTAATAGTGAAAATGACAAGCCTTATCCTTTAAATACCCATTCCCAGTTAAACCACTAATCATCATTTAATATGCATTAATAAGACTAACATCTCTTCACAAACAGACCGGCAGTGCATACATTCATGCATACAAACAAGTCAGTGGTATCCAGCCAGTCGACATATTAACATTTGCCGCCTCTGTCTGATCCAGGAGCTGTGTAGTTTAGATGGCAAGCCCAGAATCGACTTCCACCACTTGGATAAAGGGCGTGCCGCTTCTTCACCCCCCCACAGTAACTGTGAGACAGGAACCTCGGAGCAACTGTCCAAGCCTGTCCTTGCTGGAGAGTCCATGTACAAGAGGAGGTACACACAGGAAGGGAGACTGTCATTTGAATGTCACAAGATAATTGATAATCGGGTCTTAATACTTTTTTTTAAGTGTGCAACTGCTGGCTTTCACCCAGAATACATCATTAGAAACAACATATCTCCTCCTGTCTGCTATTTTCTAGCAAGTCAAGTGCCAATTCATATTTGTTGCATATGGTTAGATCCTTTTGTCTAAAGTGCTTTCCTACAAGTGGCATCCTGATCCTGATTTACATTTATTATAGAAACAGTAAATGTAGCTGTAGTCCTTCATGTGCTCATGTTGTTCGTTCTGGATGGTAATTTGTCAAATATATTAAACTGTAAATCACAAATTTTAAAAGGTAAACAAGCTTCATGGCCATACTGATGAACGGTGCCACAAAAGAAAAGAGTATTTAGAAATGCAGCAAGGACATTGCCCTTGCTTGTCCTTCTCACTTTTCATCTTTTTTATGTAGAAGAGAGGGCTCCAATCCTCGCAGTGTGACTGAATCTCCTGTAGAACAAGGAGACAGGAGTTCAGGGGAGTTCCAGATTAGCACACCCTCAGCCTTCAGCAAGTTGAACCTGCACAGGAGCTTCAGTCCTCTTGTCCTGTCCCAGGGCTCTTGGTCCTCCAGGTGACATAACTGGTTTAATTCATTGTTGGTCTAAAGCATTATATTTTATGGAAGTGGTATATTGTTCATGCCACATAGACATTCAACAGACCGTCATAATACTGTATTACATGTAATGGTAGTTAGGACTGTAAACTTGTTCCCCTTCTCCAACAACAGGAGTGCGTCCCCGTGCTTGTCCAGCCGCTCCTCACCTTTGCTTGCTGCCCCTCGCAGCCCTTGTCCTGAAGGTCCTTTTGATCTTTTCTCAGAGAGGGCAGAGGTCCAGGTAGCCAACCTGGACTACAGAATGTCCCGCAAGGATCTGCAGAAGACACTGCATGACACTTTCTCACGATACGGGCGGGTAAGACCTATGAGAATGGTGACTTTGTACTGATTAATGTATACATCATGTATGCTTGTATGCTAAGTTTAATTCAGGCTGAATGTAAAAAAAAATCTTTTAATATGGAATGTTAGCTTTTTGCAATAAGGTTGTTTGCAGATGCTGTCTTCAATAAGATTAACCACCGTCTCAAAACATCTCCTTGTGGTATGACTTGTTTTGTCTAGGTGCAAGCTGTTGAACTTAGTCCCCACACTGACTATCAGCTGAAGGCCATAGTTCAAATGTTGTCCCTGCAGCAGGCCATCAGAGCCATCAGTGGCCTGCACCGTTACAAGATCGGAGGCAAGCGCATTCGGGTGTCTCTAATCACCAGTGGCAGCAGCAAATCTCTTGCCATGCTCAGGTACGATTTGTGTTGAGTTACAGAGGAGACTTGGTTAATTAACTTATGACATGCTTTCACTGACAGACATTAGGAGTTTGTGGACATTCAGATATTAATACTTTTCAGATTTCATGGCTTGGGTTGCTGTGATAAATTTAAACTTTTTAATTATACAGCACTGAGATCATCAGCATTCTTCAGGATGCACCGGCCAATTGTCTGCCCCTTTTCAAGTTCACTGAAATCTATGAGAAAAAGTAAGCAACTGGTTTTCAAACTAGAGCAACCTTTTCATATACATTTTCTATTTAGTTTAGTACAATTTCACAGTTATAATATATGCATTGCAAAGTTGTATGTGCTGCCAGCCTGCATGTTCTTTTGTCCTCTTTCCAGATATTCCCATAAATTTGTGGTGGGGGATCTGTACAGGCTACCAGAGGTGGTAGCAGTGCGGGAACAGGGAGGCTCAAGGCTTGTGTGTCTTCTGTCCAGCAGCCAAATCCGTCAGAGTCCACTGGGATCTTCCCAGTCCCAGGAAGGCTCCTCCTCAGCGAGTGGCAGCCCCGTGGTGTTTGAGGAGCTGGAGTACCATGAACCTGTCTGCAGACAGCACTACACACAACAAAACTTTAGGTTATTACAATGTCACATAAAATGCATGTGGTGTATATATAAGATTAAACATTTAAAATTTCATGAAAATACATAATAAATCTGTTTCATCAAACATGTTTTAAGACATTCACCTTTTAAATATACTTTTGTCTTACCTGCCAGGTACATCACTAGCACATGTTCAAGCATTTGGGGGAACTGAATCAATTAGTTAATTTTTACAAGCAGCATTCTCCAGACTTTATAGCTTGAAGTGACTATTAGTCCTGTCTGTCGCTATTTTGTGTGTCTCTTTTTGCAGTGAGGCCGACTTTGACCCCGACTCCTATAAAATCCCATTTGTTGTGATGTCTCTGAGCACCTTAGCTTCTGAGGTCCACAGTCTGTTGCAGTCACACGAGGGCACCCTTCCACTGCTCAGGTGACAAGCAGCTCTAACCCTTTTCAGTAAAACTTTCTGTATAAGATAAAGTCAGTAATGTAGTCTCCTTTCTATTAGTTTTCCAGATTGCTATGCAGCGAAATTCAGTCCTCTACAGCTAGGCAATGAAACATTAGAGGGGGGTGTTCCGTTGGAGCACCTTATTACCTGTGTTCCCAGTATCACAATCGTCACTGCACAGAATGGGTTCAAAGTCATCAAGTGGATCCACAACAAACCACCAGCACCAAACTCTGGTAAGAACATTCACAGATCTCAGAATTTCAATTGAAGTTGTTTGTGGGCATTTGAGCTCAAATCTGTTTATTTCCTGCAGTGTCATACCTGTACACAATGCTATCTCTCCAGTCTGATACACAAATTTCAGGCATCTTTAAATCTCTATCCCCAGAGCCATGGATTCAGCGTTGCAAGAGTCCGGTTGGCAACCCACAGCTCATCCAGTTCAGCCGAGAGATTATTGATCTATTGAAGAGTCAGCCATCCTGCATCATGCCCATCAGCAAGTTCATACCATCATACCACCATCACTTTGCCAAGCAGTGCCGTGTCTCTGACTATGGCTACTCCAAGCTGCTGGAGCTTCTGGAGGCTGTGCCACATGTTCTGCAGGTAGTTTGCACCTGATTGCTAAGTTGTAGTGTTTGGGTTTTTTTTCCCCTCTTTATCAACTATAAAGCTTGATTTACATTTCTGCGTTGAATGTACGCAGAACCTGCACCATAGGCTACACAAGTGGCCTATGGAGTTGTGAGCATTTATACTTGTGCGCCGGGGTGTATCTGTGTTGCCCTGCAATAATGCCAACATAACATGTAGTTAGCCTACATTTCTGGAGAGGTGCACATCAGGCTACAGTGTGGGCTACAAGGCTACATGTTACCTACGACATAGATTCAACGTAGGGCAATAAATCAAACTTAACTGTGTTATTTTTATGTATATACCACAAAAATATACGTCTTTCAATTGTTTATTTTCTCTATCAACAGATCTTGGGTATGGGCACCAAACGTCTCCTGACCCTGACCCATCGTGCTCAAGTGAAGCGCTTCACCCAAGACCTGCTTAAATTGCTTAAATTTCAAGCTAGCAAACAAGTGGCAATCAGGGACTTCATGCAGGCATACCACTGGTCAGTCAGCATTGCTAGGAGCCATAGATGATCTTCGCATACAGTAGCCTGTGTTTTGACAAATATTATTCAGATGGATACTAGCAATTTGGGATCTTCATTTTTATGGTTATGCCTAACATACTGTCTACCTTGTGTATCAGGTGCTTCTCCAGAGACTGGAGGGTCATCGACTATGGCGTATGTGACCTAATGGACCTACTGGCTGAAATCCCCGACACCACCATCACCATCATGCATCAGGATACAGACACAGTCATCTGTGTCCCAAAGAGAGGTCAGTTTAAACCAGCCATTAAAAGCACCAGTTTTAAAGTGAAAATGAAGCTGAATGTGAATTGTAAATGTTTTATTGCATTCCAGAGCTGTGTCTTATTGTCTGCTGTGGCTCTGTACACCCTCCTTTTTTACACCCAAATGAGTGTTTGTTTGGAAATTAAACTTTAAGAACAGTTGGGTTGGTGGTGTTGCAGTGACATGTTATAGTAACTGTTGTTGGTGGTAATAATATTATAAGTAGTTTCTTTTGTCTGGGGCAAACATTTGTGTTTTATGAGATGTTGGAATCTAATCGAAGATTAAATCTCCAGAAAACAGAATGAATAATTCTAAACAGATAATTTTTGGTTTTGTTTTCTCTTGAATTTGTCCCTTTTAACCTACAGAGCGTACAGCGGAGGAAATTGAGCGCACAAAGCAGTTCGGGAAGGAGGTGGTGGACCTACTTCGTCACCAGCCTCATTGTCGGATGTCCTTCAGTAAGTTCATCCCCACCTACCACCACCACTTTGGCCGTCAGTGTAAGCTCAGCTACTACGGCTTCACCAAGCTCATGGAGCTCTTTGAGGCAATCCCTGACGTACTGATGGTGAGTGAGCATGCTCTGTGTTTGTGTAATGTTGTGTGCTTCTTGATGTATATGGAAGCTTAGAACAGATAGTAAGATGTAAAATCTATTCCTTTGGGAGTGTAGTAGTATCCAAGTGCGTCTGGTGTGTAATGATAGTCCCACCATATTGTGCAGTCAAGAGGACTATGGCAGTGACCAGGATATTATCTTTACTGAGGTGCTAATAGCTGAACACAGTCTCATCAGCATTAAATGGCTCCCCTGGTGTTTGTTCCTCTTACTATTAAGCTTCATTTACTCAGGGTATTCGGGTCTTTGTTAGAACTGGGTACGTAAATGGACCTTTTCTACAACTAAATTTTTTGTGCTCAGATTTTGACTTCTGGTGCTCTGTGTAAATAAAGTATAAACACATCTTCAGTTCCAATCTTCCCCATCACAGTTTTCTGGCCTAATGTCCCCTTCCTTCATCAGGTATTGGAGTGTGGTGAGGAGAAGCTGCTGACTCTGACAGAAGTGGAGCGCATCAAAGCCTTGGCAGCTCAGCTGGTCAAGCTGCTTCGGGCACAGAAAAACTCCAGCCTTCCCGTCAGCCAGCTGCTCACAGAATACAGCAAGACCTTTGGGTATGGGCTACGCCTGCAGGACTACGATGCCAGTTCCCTCCCAGCTCTGCTGACCAAACTCCGCCATGTTGTCAAGGTAAAGAACACAGCCAGGGATATGTGATTCTGGTGACGGTACTCGCAGTCAACTAGGTACAGTTTAAGTCTGAGTTTCCTGTAACTTAAATAATTAAAATATGGGAGAAAAGTAGTGTTTCATTGTCCTATCAGTTCGTAAGGGTCAGATCTATTGCACACTCACCCACGCCCTGATGCTGACCAATGTGCATGGGCAAAATCAGAGAACAGTGCCCACTTAGCAGGTTCTTGGTCATCTGCAGTCCAAAAGTTAAAATACCAATAAACAAACACTTAATTTGTTTCTATTTTCAAGGTAGTAGATGGCTCGGAGGGTCGGGAAGTGCAGTTAATCAACAGGAAGTCTCTGCGCTCGCTGACCTCCCAGCTACTGGCTCTACTCATGTCTCAAGAGGAGGAGCATGTCATCAAGGGTCTGAAGGTGGAAGAGCTGAGTCAGCATTACCAGAGTGTCCACGGAGCCTCGCTTAACCCATGTGAATATGGGTTCCTCTCCCTCAGTGAGTTACTCAAGAGTCTACCCTACCTTGTGGAGGTGAGTAACATAATTTCTTTTTTTCTTCTATACATTAAGAGCTTTACATTTTTCCTGCATCTCATTAGTGTTTTGTCCTCATTTCTACCATAATCTTTATCTTTACTAGCAAAGGCAGAACTGATAGTTTTGTTTTGTATTTTTTGGCATTTCCTCCAACAGCTGTACCACGAGGAAATCAATGAAAACAGTAATACTGGCAGCACCGCCAGTGGTCAGGGTGAGGGGTGGGTGAGGCTGACCAGGCTTTACCAATTTGCCCGTAATGTTCGTGCCCTGCTCCACACCTACCATTACAACCAGATCTTCCTCACTGAGTTCCCAGGGGCTTACAACAAATTTACAGGCTACAGCCTTGAACCACGTTCCTACGGATATGCCAGCACTGATGAGCTGCTCAGCGCCATTCCTCAGGTGGGAGTTAAACCTCTCGATCTTAACACTTAGTCACCTGTCTGTACCTAAGACATAAGTTGGACGCCTTCAAATATGGTAGAATTGCCACCTAAATTTTCTTAGAACTTGCCACTGATTTATTTCATGTCATTTGTTTAGGTTGAGGTTTTGGAAGACACAGAGCTTTTACATAAATCTTGTACAATTCTTGTAGTTAGTTCTCATTTCTCTGCATTTCATCATCAGGTGGTCTGGATCAAAGGGCATGGTCACAAAAGGATTATCGTTTTGAAAAACGATATGAAAGGTAATAATGAGGGCCATCTTTCCTATAGCACGTTTATTAAAGTCAGGTCAGCGAAGTGCTTTTATGAGCTGGTGCCTGTGCTATATGCCGATGCTGTATAATATGAATCTGTGTGTGTTGTGTTTTAGCAAAGGCAAGCCTCTCGATCCCCAACAGTCCCCAGCCAGAAGAGAACACGGAGAGTCCCAGAGACAGTCCAGTGAGCAACGCAACGTCTGTAGCCCGGAGTCCAAGTAACACAGGTCTTTATATAGATGGCTCAAGAGTTAGCTCATTTGAATAGTGTGAAGTAAACGATGAGAGTGACTCTGAGAGCTTGTATATTAAGTGCATGTTTAACTCCTCTGTTTGGTGTTTTTTGTTTGACTAATAGGTATTATTGGAAACTTAGCTCTACCCTCAAACTTTCCCAGATAAAATAGATCACTAATTATTTCCTCTCTCTGCAAGGTGATGATGTAGCTACAGAGTCAGAGCTTCTGTGTCTAACATCCCCAGTGGACCTCCTTTGTGGTCCTGTGCCATCCTGCCTGCCATCACCTCAGCTCCATCCTGACCCAGTTATCCTCCAGCAGATGGACCTGATTCACTTTGAGGAAAAAGCGCCACCACCTGCAGGTTAGTCTTAATGTCCCGGGTTTTGTGTTCTGCATTTAGAAACCCAGTTTATGAAATGGTTCTGGTTGTATTGCAACTTAAGCAGATTATTAAGGCTTTGCTTCGTAAACTTCAATTAGTCCAAAATGCAGCAGCCCGGCTGTTATCTAACTCTCCTAGGTATGTCCACATCACTCTGGTTCTTTGCTCCTTGCGCTGGCTTCCAATTCAGTATAGAGTTAATTTTAAGACGTTGGTGTTTGTTTTTAAGGCTATCCATGGCCTCGCTCTGCCGGACCTGCCTGACTTGCTGTCAATTTATGTGCCACGTAGAGCCCTTCGCTCCTCAGAACACTTGTCCCTCGCTGTTCCGCGTTCTAGATATAAAAAAAAATGGAGCGACCGGTCGTTTGTGGTGTATGGTCCCAGGCTTTGGAATTCTCTTCCGTTAGAGGTACAGTCTAAGACTGAGCTAGTGGTTTTCAAGTCGGCCCGAAGAACTTAATTTTTTTAAACAGGCTGTTGATGTTTAGGCCGTTTTCACCTCCCTCATTGCTTAATTTGTTATTACCTCCATCTATGTATGGAAATTTTATAACTTGGTATAATATTTTTTAGTATGGTTTTTCTTGGTGATGTTCGTTTTACTGTTCAGCACTCTGGGCTCTCGAGTTGTAGAGTGCTATATAAATAAAGTTTATTATTATTATAACCCACCACCTTCACTATGTGGTGGGCATTATTCAAACGGAAGTCGTCATTTCCAACAGCCAACCACAAAAGGAGCTCGTGTTTGCTGAAAGTCCACAACAATGGCTGCCAGAGTGAAGGAGTCATGTTTTGTTTTGTTTTTTTTCCACAGCCAAAACAACTCAAATTTGGTTCAGATGTGAAGATTGTCCTTCTCCCTGTGTTAGCTTCTCAAGCTAACACAATTATTTTGGTAATAATGGTAATGTTAGCATGGTCCTGATGCTTACCTTTGCATTGAATTGATATAATTTTAATGTGGGAGCAATTTGAAATTCAAGCTTTGTGTAATGTTGGCTCTGTTGGGTAGGAAACAGGACATCAGTTTGAGTCCCACTAGACCCTGTAGCAGCTGAAAAAGTTAATACACCTTTAACAAATTGGAAGATTATGTAGCCTTGTCATATATGCATTTTGTGCTTTCTACTTGTCAAGAAAAGATGTCAAACTACACAGTAAGGGAGAACAAAATATTTTAATGAGCACATCACACGTCCTATGTTTGATTAGCTCAGTCTGTACTTGTGTGTGATTTCAGAGAGCGATGAACCTGATGTGGCAGCTGCTGCAGTCACTGGCAGCATATTCACTCCAACTGAGCAGCCTGGCAGCACAGACAACTCTGCAGGCACAAAACATCCTCAGGCACCTGACATGAAGAAGATCCCCTCATCTGTGGACAGTCCCAGCAGAAGAGGCACACGTAGCAAAATTAGGCTAGCCGCCAATTTCTCAGGCCTTTGAGTCCCACACATGTACGCATCCAGGTTCATACGTACAAAGCAGTTTGCAGTTCACATTTAGTGTAAATCTGAATAGAAGAGTTAACCAGCTACACTAAACGGACTATGCAAATCTGATTGGTTTCGTCCCCTCTAAGCTTATTAGGCTGTTGGATTCTTCTGTCACCAATCAGCCATCTTTGTTTGCTTATTTCACAATCGGTGTGCTCTCCTGATAACATTCACCAAGCTGAGACTTTTCTTTTTTTGTCTTGCAGATTTTCTGCAGGTCTTTCATTTCCCAAATTCATCTGCTATAAGCTGAGTTTGATTTCAACCTGAGGGGAGTTAATTTTTATTTTCATGAATGTGCATCTTCAGTTTAGAGATGCTCACTGGCTTAACAGAAAACAAGTGAAACTGAGTTAGTTGTTACTGTTTAATAGCGTATTAATAAGCACTGAGAGAATTGCTAGGAATGAGTAAGTTTTCTATATCAAACCAAGAAATGTATTTACCCACATTCTCAGTTTAACAAAATTGACAAAAAAACGGAAGGTTGGTAGAGATGTTTTGTTCATGAGCCATACTGAGAAACCTTCATAATTAGTTCTTGACTGGATTCCCAAAAACAGAACATTTCATTTTTGAACTAATTTCAAATTTTGGAGCTTCTACTTTTGTAGGTAAACCCAGACATGCCAGCCAAATTAGTTGCCAAGTGCCTGTCTGTTTAATTCTTTCAGTCTTTTCTGTAGAGGCAGCTTCTCTTTGAGCTACATTTCATCTAGTCTCTGTTGCAAAGTAGCCTAAAAACAGTGTTTTCAGTTCTGCTTGTATTATGCAGAGTAGTGAGTAGTCTGCTGAAGAGTTGCTCCTGAATCTGGTGTGTTTGGTGATAATTCAGTGATGGGACTGGAGAGAACCCGCTTTGTTCAGGTAGTGTCTTCTTTAATGGAAGCTATGTCTCTGAACAAGTAAGGTTTGGATAGGAAGGTTGTGATTGATGTCCCAACAAGCATTGCTCTCTGGATTTTCTTTCTTGTATTTTGACTTAATTTCTAGCAGAAGGATTGTTTCATCTTTAAGAGGCCACTGATGAAGGCCTGAAAGGGAAAAAGGCGACTCCTGCCTGGTGTGTGTGTTTAGGCAGCAAAAACTGACAGACTTAGACCGTTTGTTTTCAGCCAGCAGCCAGTGTGTTTGTGTTCTTTTAGCTGTGTTTGTCTGTGTGTGTGTGTGGTTTACGCTGGAGTAGGTGGTGTGAAATGTGCATGATGTGCATAAATGAGTTTATGCATGATGTAAGCCCAGGAGGAGCAGACAGGAACAGATGATGCTGAGATGTTTAAGGCCAGTCTTTTTATTTCCACCATGTTTTAAGTATCTTAGAGTTGACACCAACCTTGCAGTTGTCACAGTTGCTACAGAAATGCTCAAGGTTTTTTTGAGTCAACCTTGCTGCTGGTAGGCACTGTATAAGTGGTGGTGCCCTCACTGTCTGAGTCGATGTGTTGGAGGGGAGCAGTGAGCACTCCTGAGTTTTTGATTTTTAATGAGAAGGCGAATGGTTGTGAGTTTTTAGGGAACAGAGATGGAACGGGAGGAGGCGGGCCATTTGCGGAGCAGCACAGGGGCTCTGAGGAGCCTCCTGAACACACCGACATACACACAGAGGACCCTCTGCGGCTCTCTGGGATCTGCCGGGCTTTTTACAATGGTTTGTATCTGCCTCGGCACTAAAAGAAATGGCCATGGCTCCTCCCCATCCCAAAGGAGTTTTTACTTGCTGATAGGTATTGGTTTTCTCTTTTTTCCTCAGTCTCAGGTTTTACAAGACTGAAGGCTGCTGAATTGCCACCAGATAATGTTGGCTGCCAGTTAAGTTTAGCCTTGTCCAGGTGCCACTGAAGTCAAAGGGTCACTGTTGCTGCTGAGAAAAGGTTGAAAGAATGGATAAGAGCCCATTAATTCAGTTTCTTTGCAGCTTCAGTGTTTAGCAATATTTATACCATGAGATTTCTCTGATTTATTTTGACTTGGTGTGAAAAGCCTTTAATACTGAAAAAAATCCACCTGCCAACTCCCTGAAATGTCTGAGATGCCAGTCAGAGGGTTTTTAAATAGGCCGGCTGTGGCTCGTGTGTCTTCTGCTGTGTTTTACTGACAGTCTGGAAACCAGTTTGGTGAAGGAATGACCAGTCCAGAGTAATTAATAATTTAGAATAGCTGATTATAGAAAATGACTTGAAATGCTCACAAGTAATGTATAGATTTATGTATGAAGGCACTACTTTGTGTATTTGAGCAAACCCTAGTGCTCCTCACAGTACTGCAGTAGCAACTAACTCAGATGTAACTTGCCTATTTAGCCTTCTCACTGCTTTTGGGTTACACCAGTGAGAAGCAGTTGTACCTGCCATAATATGCACTTCTGCATAGTTTTGGTTCATGAAATACCAATGTGAAATGATTTAGTGTTTACTGGGCTTCTTGGTTTATTTCTTAACACTGGCACTTTGTATTGCTTCAGTTTTTATGTTGCATGACATTTATATAGTCTTGCAATCGACCATTAACAAATAATTTCAAGGAACATTTAGTCAGCACTGCAGTGTCTATAAAACTCTCCTGTAATTACTTTTGTTTATCTGCTCAACGCTGATGTGTCCTCTTTATACTCACCTCCTCGCTCTGTCACATCCTTTTACTGCCTCACCTCACAGGAAGTTGCTGTAAGAGTCCAACATTTGTTGAAGGGACCAAAAAGATTTCTGTTAATAAATTTCACAAGCATCATTTTGTGTTTCATCTCAAATCACTGAACAATCACCCAGCATGTTCCTGAAAGATGCTCTTTATTTAAACATATATGTACAAGTAGTTTCAGCTTATTTTCTGCATATTTGTTCAATATTCAATATTAGGGCCTTCATGAATTTACCACAACTACAGGACTCTTAAGTTATCAGAAGGAACGGAGAGTGACAAAGAGCTACACTTTGACGTGCATCACTAATGTCCTAAATACACTCGAACACACACCATCTATTGTAGGCATTTACAAGAATTGCATTTATTTCCTGGTGTTTATCATAAAAATGCAAGACTAAATTCAGAGGATGCAAGTTGCCAGCAATATCCATAATAACTATGAACAGTGTCATACAACCAGTCTATTTCCCAGCAGCTGATGGCTGAGATGAAATTAGTTTGGCCAGGAATGTGGTGGCTTGGCGTAATAAGCAAGTGAACCATTTAATTAAAATAAAACTCACCCTATTGAATGAAGTTAAGTGTTTGCATATACACAGATGACTCGGAATAATGTGGGTGCTACTAATGGAAATGCTGACAGAAAAGTGGCTCATATGAGGTTAGCATTAGCCTCTTTAGAGTGCAATGCAAAAGCATGGACACACTTTTCAATGTTGTGCTACAAGGCGATCTTATAGTTCTGTCTGCTCATATTACCGTATTTTATCTTTAAAGGTTTGACCTTGTGACCCCTGCTCCTATTTGCAGTTTGTGTATAAAAACAAACATCAAGACTAACTTGTATAGTTTGGATGATACTGATGCACCTGCAGTTTGGGCACATATGATTTGGCTGTTCACTGTCTCAATGCTACGTTGAAACCCAGACATATTGTTGGCCAGACCTTTTGCTGCTAATTGGTGTTCAGCTTAACATGACCCACCATTGTAGCGGTGTTTACAGTGGTGTATTAGTTTGGTCAGCAAAGTCTGTCTTAATTTGAATGAGTTTTAAACCTGCCAATTCTTATGTCCAGAGAATTACTGTTCAAGCCAAAGCATGGAGTCAAAGATGCTGCTTCACAAGTCACTTAATCTGTAGCCTAGTTGTTAGTCTGCACCTCCCACCTGCAAACAGTCATACAAACAATGATGGCGTCAAACATTATAGGCCAAAAACAGGCATTTTCCTGTCAAACAGAGAACCGGAGCATTTATACTTTGTGGATACTGTACTTGTAGTTCTATACATACTGTACATCAGACATCAGTGATTAGCCTGTATCACCACTTTGACGATAAATGGAATGACCCAATCTGTTTCTAAATTAGCACATATGTTTTGTTTACAATTGACGTGTCTATGTTCCTCATTATTTTTCAAATCTGTTGTCTCTACTCCATATACGCAGGTGACAATCACTTAGAAAAGCCCCTCGGCTGCTGATCAGGGATCAGTCTCCAAACGTCTTTGACTAAAACTGTAATAGCTCTTGAATAGTTTCAAGTAACTGAGGTTCTCTGAGTCACAGGAAGTGATGTATGTCGTGATGTGAGTGTGATGTTTCTGACTCGGGAACAGGGTCAGTTACATGATGGCGCACTGGGTGGCTCCACAGCAGTCTTTAATGACGGCCACCCCAGACTTGGTAATGGACGGTTTATTGGGAGGCGGCTCCAGGGTTTGTCTCTTAGGCTTTGGAGGATCTTGTCATAAAGCGAGAGGAAACAGAAATGATCACACTGTGGATGTGGATTTGCAGATACTCCTGTTTTTTTCTGAATGTGCGTGTGGGTTATTAACTTCTCACTCACTTTGTGTGACTTTGAGCTTCTTCTCCAGAGGCATCAGCTTCAGCCTGAGGAACTCGGCCATCTCCTTGTCCTCCTCTTTCTCCCTGGGGTACAGCAATCACATCTCAGTTGGTGAGGCGAATGCAGTTCAGTAAAATCAGGTCACAGAATGTCTGTATTTACCTGGGCTATACAGTAAAAGTAGCACTGACTGGACATTATATTCAAGTCACAGAGCTAAGCGTCTGTTTTTCTGAAAGATGCAGTGTCCCTGAAGACACTTCTGCCCTCTGAATCTATATTCTGTTGCACAACAGAAAAAAACTTGACTTACTTTGGACAAGGTCAACTAGAATCAGTTTTGTTTAATTCTTGCATAATTTATAATACTTTTACTTTGTATTTGTTTTTCTTGTAAATGACATATACTAGAGTGTCTATACATCTCAGATTTGGCACAAATGTCTACATGACCTTGAGGATGAACTGATTAGATTTTGGTGGTGAAAGGTCAAGGTCACAGTGACCTCTCATCTGTCCCATGCTCTTGAATTTGGCTGGTTGGCAGAGGCATACAACCACGAGGTGGTAATTCCAGTTGGAAGGTGGAAATTGGATTAAAAATCTTGTTTATCACATGGTGAATATTTCTTTTTCCATTTGAATGAACAGAGCAGTGTTTGATGTGTTTGGAACATTTGGAACTGTGGGTGGGATTTATCTTTCAAAATAACTTCTCTTCAGCTCTGTGACTTCAGTGTAATGACAATGCACAGTCAGCACAACCTGGAGCTACATGTGGCCTGGGTGCTGACAACATATGCCAGTGTTAAATACTTTTCTGTTGTGACTGTGTCAAACACACTGGGTCCTAACACACAATCAGTGTGTCCAACAGGCTTTGAAAGTGATTCTTTCAGTGGCTCAGAAACGTGCTCATCCAGTGTTTTCAAACCTGAGAGTTGACATTTTTGTTGGGTCTATCTGAACATTCTATCAGTGTCTCTCTCTGCAGGTTATTTGTGGAAGCGGAGGAGGAAGATGATAAAATAAAAATGCACCCCCCGAGCAGGCAGTGCTGTGATGATGAAGTGACCCCCGTCTGCCTTCACTCGTGCTCACATTCGTTCATCACATGTACTCTAATGAGCCTCTTTCCCGCTGTTTCTAAACCATCCTATGTGTATCAAATGAAGAAACAGTGGATGCAGTTCATTCTAACACTGAGTAAATAGTCTGCACTCCCAAACAGCAGCCCGGATATTAATGATACCTCTACCTTAATCTCTCCACCTCAGCGTCGTCGACCAGGAAATCTCTTTTCTGCACCAGTTTATGGATCTTCAGGATCAGTTCCTCCTCTTGCTGCTTGTGCTTCTTAGTTTTTTCCTTCTCTGGGAAGAAAATGAAAGAGGTTGAATCATAAACAATGCCTGGTGGTAAGGACAAGGGGGTAGAACTGAAACCTTAATATTGTATTTTCTTGCAATAAGTATCACAGCAGATCCCATGCTTTTAGCTACCTGGCTTTGAAAAACCTTCCATCAAAGTCGCTGAGTCACATCACACGCAGACCCTTAATTATCCCCTTGTATAATTTATAACAAATAAGGCACTGATTAGGCATTTTATTTTATATATTCATATAAATTATATAAATCATGGATTAGAAACATTTTAGCCTTAGCTCAATCTTCCCTCCTAGAGAAATCTTTTTGCTTCATTTAAAGAAGGAATTTGCCTTCACAATCAAAAGGTCCACAAACACAAGATCCATCTTTCCTTGTCTCACTTCCTAACCTTCACATTCCGAAGCACAAAAAAAGACGTAGACCAAACAAAGTGCATGCACACATGAACAGCTGCAGAGGCAGGTTGTGTAGCACTGCTGCTGTTTAGACTACTTGGGAAAAGGGGTTTGAAAAATGACTGCAAACATCAGCTCTTTCTCCCTCCAGAAATAAAGTGGAGCGGTGCAGCTGCGGAGTGCATTCTCATGAGGGATACAGTAATCAAATAAAGACCAACATCATAAATTAGGGCATCAGAAATGACCCCAGAGGTAGGTAAATGCCTGTCTGGCAAAATTCATATAAAGACAAGTTACACAGTACACAATTTTTGGAGCACTGTCGGGCTTCCTTGTAATTCAGATACTGAAAAATCACAATGTATGCTAAACTATCCCAACGGTGCTGGAACTGACTAACGAGTTAAACCAGTATTTGATTGTGTACTCCGACTGCACCACACAGGCTCCAATAAACCATTCAGGGAGTAAAGATTAGTGTTTACTGAAATCCATTTTGGACACCTTCCCTGGAAAAGCGTTCCTCAGCTTGTATTGCCTCAGCGGTGATGATCCAAGTGTGTCTGTGTGTGTACAGTTGTCTCTGCCTCATAACTCCACCATAGTCTTGTCATCAGTCTTGCAGAGTTTAATGTAACAACACTGCCTTTAAATCACCACAGCACCTGCTGAGATTCTGGGACACTGGTGAACTGCAAACAGAGATTTTTATGTCAGGAGCTCTACTTTTGGTCAAGTCCAAACAGGACATGTGGACGCATTCATACACAGAGGCTCAGTTCTGAGTGGTTAATGTCCTGAAGGGCTTACAGCTGATTTTCTGATGTTGGTTGAGAGGCAGAATATGTATATATGTATGTGCGGATGCGTTTGAGCTATACCTGGTACTGCGACAATCTGTCTCAGCTCCTGCTTTAAGCTCATGATGTCTTTGCAGAGCTGAATGTCATCCATCCTAAAAAACATTGTGAAAGGCAACAATAAATCTCCCATCACATTAAATAACAAATATTGGATGTCTTCATCTGGTGACAGTGATGATAAGCCCTGGATAAAGAGCACACAGAGCTGAAAGCCCTTCTCTCAATACAGTGATATAAAACAAGCTGGCCCCACTTTTTCACATTTATTAATGGTGAGGTGAAGTATTCTTCAATGATTAATCAACTGTTAAAAATGTTTGGAAATCAATTTCTTTTCATAACCACAAATCCCTGTACTGCAGTGTACTACAATAAGACATCACAGCCTGAGGCGCCTGTCACACAACAGGAATGTGTGTGCAGATAGAAAACATGGAACATAAATCAATCCACGCTGCTCTCTGAGCTTCCTCCAGCCCTGGCATCTCACCCCCAGGACCTCCTTCTCCCTGAATCTCCGCCTGTCTTTCACTCTCCATCTCTGCAGAGCAGTGACAGCTACCACAGATTTCATTCTCCCTGTGATAGATCAAGCCGATGACTCATTCACGGCCTCCTTCCTCCGCCTCCCTCTGCTTGCTTTTACACCTCCCTACTTTTTCTTTCTCCTCCCTTGGCCCATCCCTTCAGATGCTTTCTCTCCCTCTCTGTTTCCTTCTCTTTCCTTCTGCCTTGCGTTCAGCTCTAGCAGCTCTATCTATGGATTCCTGCAGCTTCTGCACACTGATGGTCCATCTGCTAGCCATGAGCACGTGTGCACGTGTATGTGTGTTTATGTGCTGCTGTCTTGACTCACACAGAGCCTGACAACAGTGATGCACTGTGGTGGCCTAATGAAGCCTTTTAAGTGGGCGTTGGAGCGAACATTATCAAATGAGTGCGCGCTCTGGTGTGTGGCAGTTCCATCTGACACCCTCGCTCTAAACACACTGTTCAGTTCAATGTTTTACAGTAGAGATACAATTTGTTATAGTTAAATAAAGTGCCTGAGACAGTGTCATGTGTTTCCACACTGAATTTGGTTTTAGAAAGGTGCAATGTTACACTTCATAATAATATAATACATTTTTCCTAGTCCTGCTCATTGATTTGCAACATTGCCTGCAATGTTCTAATAAAGTGAAAAATATTTCAGGGATACTGAACATAAGGATAAAACTATATCATCTCAGTGTATATTGCTATTGTGAGTCAGTATTAAATTAATTGACATAAAGGTCATTTTCCAAGTGAAAAAAAAAGCTATTACTTGCTTTACATTGCAGTAAACAGACACTAACACTTTGTTGCACCAAGTATCGGCATCTGTGATACCAGCTTGGATTTACTTGGCATCACCTCTGAAAGGAAATTAGCAGTATTACACATCACTAGAATCGAACAACGCAATGACGTCAGATTGTTACTTTATAGTATTAAATTGTTTGATCACTTTATCAGCGTCCCACAAAGCACAGACACAACATGCCAATGATAAAGGCAGTGAGGATAATAATACAGCACTTCATCTCAACCGCTATGTCCAGCCCTCTGAATAAAAGGGCCGCTCCACCCAGTATCAAAACGCCTTCACACAGCCAACATGAATCACACAGGGAAACAACATCATGCATCATGACTGAGACTGTCATGGCAACAAGGCCACCTCATCATCCACTCAAGGACAGCAGCAGGGATTGATATGACACTTTATTGATGAAAGTCTCACTTTATTATGTTGGATGTTGCAAAAAATACAGAAACAGACAATTCAGCAACTCACATGAATCGCAGCTCTGACTCCCGGCGCACCAGGACCTCTCGCAGGCGCTGGATACGAGCCATCTCCACCTCGATCTCCTCTGGAGACATGGTGCTTTCTGCCATGGAGACATCTGAATGACCTGAGAGGCAGAGGGATACACGCACAGATAAGATCAATATGGAGAAATTAAGCAAAGATAGGAGGGAAACAGGAAACTTTAAAAGCAGTGTGGGCAGGAGAAACTGGCATATATCATCTTAGTAGGGAAGTTATAGAAAAGAAAAGTCAGTGCACTTGACCATAGTACAGATTCCAGAGCTGCATTTTACTATGATTTCATGTCTCAAATACATCCAAGAATTCTTTTGTTGTGTCTTTTTATCCGTTTATACTTTTGCCAGCATGTTGGCACACACAGTTCTCACCTCATCTCCCTGTGACTTGTTGTTTCACAGCAGCTGAGAACATGATGTTTGGAAAGAAAGCACCGTGTGTAATTGAGAGTAGGGGTGTGAAGTTAAGTCACAAATGATTGCCTTCCATTTTAAGACTTCATTTGTGGATGATGTGAAAATGGGGGTTTGTCATGCAGAAAACTGTGAGACCGTTTCCTCAGAGGAAAGCTGTTGTTGATGTGGAAGGAAAAAAAAAAGTTCAGACATGGATCAATAACCAGTTGTGGCTCTTTGCTGATTGGGTTATTCCTCCCTCAGCTGGACCACTGACCTCACACACTCCACATCAGTCAACAGAATGCAAAGACACCACAGCCACTGACCAAACACTTACTGCTCTGATCAATGCACTAACCGCTATTCATGCCGGAGCACCAACAACAAACTGTTAAAGGAGATGGGGATCTTTGTTTTCCAGATTTCTATTTGTCACGTGTGTGTAATAAAACTAAATATCTGGAACACTTTATTCTAGATCAGATGTGTGATGGTGGCAACATGTAGAGACAGTGTGGTATGTTATAGGCTCATTTGCTGGCAAGAAAATTCCACATGTTCAGACCTTGTAAAGTTGAGTCTCTTTAGAGTGTATTGCACTCCTCTTTATTCTGCACCCTTGTGGATAAAGAAGCTTCAGGTTGCCTGTAATGATTGTATGTAGATGCTACTCAAAAACTCTAGGTGCTGTACTGCAAGTGACTTGTTTTGTAATGTAGAGTCAGCACTTTTCAGGCTCTATTAGGAAACCTGGTTTATAAATTCATTTATCAATCGAATAATTCCCAGAATGTCATTGTTATGTTGCTGTCAAATCTTAAATTCAGTGCTGGATGATACCAGTCATTCCTGTGGAAACATGAGTGTAACTGCTTGTTAAGAATGTGATTATGTTTTTGTTTTTTTTTATGTATATCTTATAGTTTGGCTGTGATGTATGTCTTTTCTTTTTTTTGGACTCTGAGTCTGGAAATAAAATGAACTGATGATGTCAAACTGATGTCATCAGGGTTATTTATTTCAGTGTCATCTTGACACTGTAAATTTACAACAGAAAGCTTGTATCATAGAGTGGGCGTACATGAATATGTGCATGTTCACCAGTCAGGGAGGATGGGTTTATGGGGGATTAAAGTACAGATGTCTCAGCCTCTGCAGCTTCAGTTTTGATGATATCTTAAGAATCTGTCTCACATAAGCCCTTTATGTAGATCTTAATCGCTAGAGAAACCCTTTAAATAAAGATTAAAATGCAAGTAAACCATATCAAAAACATATGACAGTACTACAATATAATTATATATCATATGTGATGCATCCAACTTCGCCTGGTGTTTCTGCAAGTTTATCTTCCACTTTTGAGGAGAACGTGAATATTTTACAGACACAGCGTAGTGAGACTGGATGCCAAAACAGTGATCGGCTGACACTGATACTTCGTGTCAGTGCAAACATTCATATTTAACAGACTGGAACCTGAGATATGTTGGCATTACTGCTTGAAAACTCCTCAAAATACACATCTTTGAAGTCAGTGTTATTAGTGCTGTCTGTTAATTCTCCATACTGGCTGTGAAGCGATCCTTCCCTAACATATGACTACACTACAAAATCCCCAGTCTTCATAAACCTGAGTACACAAATAATTTTCATTTGAAATTCTGGGTTGACAAAACTGAACGTGACATTTATCACCAGCAGTTCTTCTACCGACATGGTCCTCCTGCAGCAACATAAACTGCAGTCTGCGTTTGAGGTACTTCTCATAGATGCTTGCTGAGGGTGATGCTGACTCATCACAGCAGACAAGTCTGCACAGGAGGGACTGGTTTGTTTGTGTCTCAGTGATGTTGAATCATCACCCAACATGTCTGGTGACAGAAGACGCTGACGTCAAATCAGAGTTTGTCTCATGAGGCTGCAGCAGGATCTAAAGTTTGAGAAGTATTTTTTTTACTTCCTTACCTCTTTTTCCTTTCTTGTTTTTCTTTGCTCAAAACGCTCCTCTTTCTCACTCTCAGCCATCCATAAGACCATGCTGCATTAAGTCACGAATGGACCATTAAAACTGGCAACATGCCGGCTCAATTATGTCTTAACAGCTCCCTGTCATGTGAGCAGGCCACTCGCACATACTCAGCGCTGCAAGGAAAGAAGACCTTTGACACTTCCTAATTAAAAGCAGTTTACTACAAAGTTTTAGCAAGCAATGCTGCTGCACACATCCCCAGCAGATGTAAACCACGCAGGTAATAAATCACTCCTGTTTCAGTAAAACAAACTGGCTCAGCAGTGTACTTCAGGATTATGGGTAAATGAGAACATCTTAGGGAGTCTGGATGGTGCGTGGTGCAGCTCACAACAGAGAATTTCTGTACATATGACATCCAGTGCACACGCCCCCCGACACAACCTGCAATCATCCTGTATACACACTGGGACTGCTGCTGCTGGAGCACAAAACAGAAAGTGCAAGGCAAACATAACC